GTAGAACACTACAGGAAGGTAGAAATTCTACAAGTAATGCACAAGATATTATAACATATATATATATATATATAATATAAAATAGATTGTAGAAAAAACCTAGAATTATTGGATTTTTAAAATCAAACATTTTATTTAATTAATAACCAAATAGCTTTCATTATTGAGATCCTCATATTTAATTATTAAAATAATAATAATTTTATATAATAAGGAAGATAATTCTAGATTCGTATGTTTACGTAATCAATTTAGAAACAGACCCAACCCAACTGGTCCATAATAAAACTATTAATTTTACAACAAAATTCTACAAGTACCATTTTTATGTCTTTAATAAACCATGTCCATCTCTTTCATTTCTAAGACAGTAAATCCTGACAATTCAATATTCTTTTGATAACGTACCGGAGTTTTTAAATTACATCATATAAATTTAGATGACGTTTGTTTTTTAAGAGGTATTAAAGTTTGATTTTATTTCTGATTTTTAAAATGAAGTCTGAAATCTAGATCAATAAGATTGTTTATTTTTACATTTGAAATCTGAAATCTAGTGCAAAAATATAAAAGATAAATAGTTTTTTTTTTATTAACCTGGATATCCAACCCGCTATGCGAGCCGACTAAACTCAGGACGACTATTTGCTTTGCAGATAGCCCGGAGTCACCGCATTTGAACCTCCGTGGCCACAATGAGATTTTTATTCCTCCTTGGATTTGAACTTGGGACCTCTTAGTACTTTTGACATTTGAAGTCAAGCTTAAACCAATCAGACACTATCCTTGTGGTTAAGATAAATAGTTCTTTTTTTTTTACAAAAGTATAAAAGATAAATAGTTTTTGCTAACAAATCTTTTCTAGCGTCCAAACTATGAACTATTTGATAGAGGGTAGATTAGAATTAAGAGGTATTAGGATATATGTTTACCACTTAAAATTTCAAAGGACATTTAGAGCTTTTAAGCTCTTATTTTAGAAATAAAACAAACGTTCTTAATACCCAAACGTCTGAATGAATCAGACTTCAGAGGTATTAAGAGGTAATTTTGAAAAAACAAACAGACCCTTAACTTTTATCTGAATTGAAATGTTATATGACATAATGATCTGTTCATAAACCATCACGTAATGGATTACCACAAACTCAATCTCCTGTTCAGTTTGTATTAAAACATGTTTCAGATAGTGTTTAGATATAACTTCGATTCTTAAAGTTTAACAAATTACATTTACTTACAAAAGTCTACATAATTACTTCTTTTTGGTAACCGTGGGTTTCTGGGCCAGTTTATGCACACCGACTAATCAACTCAACGACCACGAATCGACTGGAGTCATTGCAGGTGAACCATCATGGCCACAAGGACTTTGGCAATGTCTGGATTCAAACCCATGGTAGATGAGATTTTCCACTACATTCCTCTGAGGCTTAACCAGTGCGACACAACCTAAATGGTTATAATTTACCTTTTTACCAGTTGTTTATTAAAAAGATGTAGAATTACTTTAGCTGCAATATTTCCAGCCTTGGCAACGACGATGGGTTTTAAGCTTATGAGGAATGCAACTTGGCTTCTTGAACATGTTTTCGCATCGAATCACTCACTTTAACTGAACTGATACAACAATCGAGATAAATGCACATGTTAATACATGATTTTTATTCATTTATATCAATTAGTATCTTAATAAGCACGTATAATTAGCAATATTTCAAATCTTTACACTTGCTATTTAAATATGTCTTTATCTATAGTATATTATAAAACATTTGACAAAAACTCTTAAAAACCACTTTTTATGTGTAAAATACTGTTTATTAATGCATATTACTTAAAACTCAAGATTGCAAGTAGATTGTGCGTAAGTACAACTTATTAAAGCTCAATATCTGAATTCGTGTAACTAACTGCAGATAAACATAATCAAATACATGATAAGCATCTCATTTTAAATATAAAAAATCTAAAATATAATTAAGATAATCATTGAGTTCTAACAGAATACTTAATTATTATCTTTATAAAATGTTATGTTATTAAATAAAAAATGAGAACTTTTAAATAGTTGATTTGATATTAACATTAATATTATTTTTTTTCCAAATTTTTATGATATCTTCAAATTTATATTTTATTCAAAAATAAAATCATTAATGTTTTCTTAAAAACACATAAAATCGTATTATAACATCGACAGAGACAAATAATAAAATAGAACATTAAAATCGAGATGTGTCTCGCTGCATTGCGCGAATACTCTTCTAATAGTATTTAAATATGTCTTGAAATAACGTTTTTGTTTTAGTTTTGTATCTTTTTATAGTCGTGCCAATTATTCACCAAAATGCATTAAAAAATCTTCACATGAGGGTATTTTGGTCATTTACATGCCATCTTTAAGAAAAAGAAAAAAAGAATGAAACCTCTATCATCATTCCAATGAAACCCACCACTACCACTCTGTCCTCTCTAGCACTTCATCCAACCGCATCGCACCACCTTTTCCGATTCCTCATTTTTCATGACCGTTTTCTCTCCCCCCCCCCCCTCTTTTTTTTGATTAACCTGGAGATCCAACCCGCTACGCGAGCCGACTAATCCCAGAGCAACCACCTGCTTTGCAGATAACCCGGAGTCACCGCATTTGAATCTCCGTGGCCACAAGAGGATTTTTATTCCTCCTTGGATTTGAACCTGAGACCTCCTGATACTTTCTCTCCCCCCCCTCTTTCTCTTCTTCGTTCTTGAAACCCAAGCCATTGTTAACATGTACACACTCTGAAAGGTTTCACATATACTTAGAGCTTGTGTACACACTATCAAGACTCGGGATTTCTTAAAATTTCACTAGTTGTGACAACTTAGGTTATATCTTTGTATAAAACATCGTCTTAGAGGGGTTCTAAGATAGTATGCCATGAGAACTTTTGAGAAATTAAAAAAGGTTGTATGTGTCGTCAGTGGGCATGAGGACGAATACGATTTGGGGGTTGGTGTCAGGATACATAATTGGTATTGCAGTATCAACGACAACTTCATCATAACACATAAACAATTTGAAGCATCCAAAAATGTTGAAACATAAGCAAAATGGAGAGAAGGTTGATGCTTTGTAATGAAACCTTCGTAATCTTTCATGACCCCTTTCTTAAACCTGGTACAGATAATTTTTATGAATTTTCATAACCTTTAATAAAGAGTTTAGGATGTTAATTACGAAGCATGCAAGTTAATGATATCAAAACATGGACGGACCCAATTTTTTTTTTTCCAAATAGTGGTACCTTTTGACTAAGAAAAGACGCTAACAGCATTCAAACTTGGGTCTAAGATGGAATAAAAGCCTTGCAAATCAACTCTACCAAATAAAACTTGTTTTCATTGTAGTTTCAAAATACATACGGTGACACACAACAAATTAATATGCTTGCACATTTCACGAATTTAATTTTTTTTTATCCTTCGACAAAGAAATAATACGGTGACACATGCCACCGTATACTCCACTATAGGTCCGTAATTGCATCAAAACCAACAAGATATTAGGATGGCGTTAGTGTCATGGACCAAATCCAAAACAAAAACGTTAATCGAAGGGGTTATTTTCTAAATAAATGGATTGTGAGGACAAAAACCAACATACCTAATAAATGGAGGGACTAAAATTGTAATTTACTCTTAAACTTTAAAATAAAAACAGTTTAATCGTTTTGTGACGTTAACTTTTTAAAGTTGTTGACCATTTTAAAAGCGTGACACAGCTTCATATTTGACAACCTTTTTTTAAAAAAAAAAGTGGCTATTTTATAATGCAATTTCTTTTTAAAATAAAAGTATTTTTAATATTAATATTAATATTAAAATTAAAATACTGTTATACACTTTTTAAAACATGACTAATCTTACAATATCTTTAATTTTTTAGAATATGAATACTTTTTTGTGGACATTTTTTAATCGTACAAAATGGTATCAAAATCTCAGTTCTCGACAATTTTTAATAGATATTTTAAAGTAGAGAAAATAAAAATATATATTTTTTAAAATAGAAAATAACAAGAAAATACATTTTCTAAACTTAGAAAAATATTTAAAATTTAATGTGAGGAATAAAAACTGATTTTTCAATCTATTTCTCACCAAAAATTTTAAAAATATATAGAAGTGATAAATAAAATACTTTTTAATAATATGAATAATATTTTGAAATATTTAAATAATTAATCTTTTAAAGTTAACTGGGATTTTTTTTGAAGTTTTAACTTTTTATTCTCTATTTTAAAGATATTACAAAGAAAGTGTTAGAAATGAACGCCTATGACTCATTAACTTTCGTATTGACGTATAGAATTTTCATCGATTATGTAGAAGGAACGTGACTTATTTAGATTGAACCGTTTCTCCCTAAATTAAGATATGTGTCTCGTAACACCCGAATATTTCTTAGATCTCCCCAAATTAGCGTGATCATCAAAGCATGTTTTCATGAATTCGTGCAAGATGTAGTCTGGTATGCTCATACGAGTAGGGCCATCCCAAGACGACCGGACGTACACTCAAGGCCCACATCAATTTTTTTAGTATACAGTGGTTCGAAAAATCAGTAAATAAAATAAAAACAAATTGTATAATATTTAATAGGATCCAAAAAGTAATCCAATATTATATTAGGGCCCAAATATGTATTAACTATTATATTGGAGAAAAAAACACATAAAAGTTAACTCGTTGTTTATTATATAATATAACTTATTATAAAATATCAGAAACGGACCTCCATACGAGTGAATTCATAAGTTGGTCAAACAAGTCGTTAACTAAGATCGTCTTGCATTGTAAGGGCACATTCAACAAACATATCCACCTCGATAAGTTACTTTTCAAGTAGAGTATAAAACCAAACCAAACCAACACAACCCAATATATTCCACCTAAAGATAGTGTCGGGAATAAGATATACACACACCCGACCTCTATATCGTGTAGAATGATTGTTTCACAAAGCCAATACTAATAGAATATGCACATATTGAAACAAGCATTATTCCAAAGTTATTCGACATCTAGGTGGTTGTTTGTTATATAAAACCAAGTGAGTTGAAAGAAACGGCTTCAAAATTCGACAACACAAACTCCGATAATGGCTTTTAACTACAATGTGCACCACACCAACGGGTTATCGCTACTTAACACGAACTTAATGGATGTTACCTTTAGACACTAGGCTTTATATTCATACGGGACGCTATTTTTTGCCCAAGAGATTTGTCAGCCTGCAAGAACATCAAAAAACGTTTAAGATCAACCCACATCAGCTAAACTTAGATCTTTCTACTTTAATAAAAGTTGGAACTCCGTTCTTTCCTTACGGGTTCTTTTGAAGTATTCGGGGTCCCACATATAGACGAAGGGTCGTGTGAGAAGGAGAACTAATATGAGAAGCGTAAGAAGGGATCTGGACCCTTTGATCATCTTTAATCTCAAACCCACCCATGAATTGCGCTTGATATGGGGATTGATCCGGTCATCTCGATGCATCTCATCTCCGTGCATCTCATCTTAATGTACATCTAAGGGTTTCTTATGCTTCTCACCTTAACTCTCCTTCTCACCGAAACCCAACCCCCCACATCTATCACAAGAAAGATTTGGACTTGGACCGTTATACCTAAATATATGTTTGAACCGATGACTCTTTCGAAAAACAATCCGATAGGGGTTCCGCATATGTCACAAGGAAGTCTCTACTATTGGTGCTAAAGAAAGGTAACATGACCAAATGGCTATCAGTCTGATGGTATCTGGGTTACCAGTAGATCCCAAGTTCCCAACCTTCTGGGAGGTCAAGGGTTCAAGTATAACCAAACGTCAAAGAGCCCACGTCAGGTAAACTTAAACCTTTCTATTTCAATATTTGTTGGAACTCCTTTCTCTCCTCAAAGGATTTTTTGAACAGTAATCTGATGCGATCCCACGAATATCACAAGAAAGATTTAGAGAACCCTACTACATAAATATATGTTTAAACCCCCTTCTCTCATCGGCGACTCTTTCTAGAAAATAATCTGATGGGGTTTCACATATGTCACAAGAAAGTCTCTACTATTGGTGCTAAAGAAAGGTAACATTACCAAAAGGTGATCAGTTTGATGGTATATGGGTTACCAATAGATCCCAAACTTCTCGGAGGTCAAAGGTTCAAGTTTCACCAAATGTGAGGAGTGTGTATGAGTTTTGTCATATAAAAAGATTATATATTGCAAAAGAGAAAAAGGAAGGTAACGTGGTCGAACCTGAGACCAGTATGAAACCCATATAGTGCGGACCTCATGGGTGACTCGCGGATCAGATAGAGCACCTAGGATTCGGCATATGAACCGTTCTTGTCTGTAAAAGAAACAAATTTGAAACCATGTCGCCTAATCCACCAGATACGAGGAAATACGACTCGAGGCAATTATGTTATATACCTTTCTGGTGGCCAAGATCTGTATCGTTCTCCAGGCTGCTTGAAGTTGTTCTCTTTTTCTATCAAGCACTGCATTAATGAAAACGTTTTTTCAGGAGAGATTTATCTTTCTGAAGACATAAACGATGCTACTAATTTTAGATCAAACACCCAGAGAAAGCTAACCCTTAAAGTCTTATATCGGCTAACCTCGACCTTTCTACTTCAATATATGTTAAAACGTCCCTCTCGTCACTTTGGAACATTGGGTTGGGTTCCCGTAAGACCACCCTGTTTTTGTTTTTTTATGAGGCTCGTGAGACCAGCTATGAAGGCACAAAAACACGTGGAACCTTCAGTGTGAAACCTTCGGAGTGCTTTTGTGTACTTTCAGTGTATTTTTGCTGTGAAGGTTCAGTGTTTTTTTGTAGTCTCATGGTCTCACGAAAACAAGTTGGTCTGACATGATCCCAAGTATGGAACATATGTGCACGTCTAGCCTCCTCTGGAGGAGGCATGTTAGAGTCTAATATCGGCTAAACTTGGACCTTTCTACTTTAATATATGTTGGAACCTCTGTTCTCTTCTTAAAGGTACCGTGATGGTGTTTTACCTATCGCACACTAACGACCAAACATCATGCCAAACCAAACGACCCAATATATCCGACCTGGGGTGGGTCCTAGGGAGGGTGAGATGTACACAAACATGACCTCTATCCCAAAGAGTAGAGCAACTGTTTCTTTGAAAACTCATGGTTTGTAAGAGGTGTCAACTGAACATCATGCCGATATGCTAAATTATTTGAAGAAAACAGACCTTCTCACGCCGTCCTGTTAACTTAACCGGAGGAATCGGGAACTCGGCAGCATGACGAGAAGGATCATATCTCGAAGGGAAGTAGTTAACCTTCAAGAGTCGGGAAACAATAAGATCAGTAATCAAGATTCAAAATTCGGATAAGAGTTTAACTATCTGATGAAATGAATATAACACAGCTACCTCCTCATCTCTATGCATGAAGTTCATAAATCCATCATGATGATTATTATGATGAGCACATTTGGGCGCATTTACGGGAATCTGCAAATAGTTTGGTCCGAGCCGGTGCCTCTGAGTATCCGCATATGAAAAGATCCGAGTTTGGAGCAACTTATCATCCGAATAATAGATTCCGGGGACAATTATAGCTGGGCAGAAAGCAAGCTGTTCGTTCTCCGCAAAGAAGTTATCGATATTCTTGTTCAATACCAAACGACCCACCGGCTGTAGCGGCAAGATGTCCTCTGGCCAGATCTTGGTTACGTCAAGTGGGTCAAAGTCAAACTTATCTTCTTGATCAGGATCCATAATCTGGATAAAAAGCTTCCATTCGGGATAGTTTCCAGCTGCGATGGAATCATAGAGATCTTTAGTGGCGTGACTGTGATTAGCTCCACCAATCTTGATGGCTTCATCTTCCAAAAGACATTTTACTCCACATGTCGGTTTCCAGTGAAACTTGACGTAATTTGCTTTTCCGGCTTTGTTAATTAGAGTGTAAGTGTTAACACCGAAACCATCCATGTGACGGTAATCTTGTGGCACACCCACATCATCTTGGAGGAACGTGAACATGTGCAAACTCTCCGGATGGTGGGAGAAGAAGTCGAGAATTCTCCAATCTTCTTGGATGTGTGACTTGGGGTTCGGCTTTAGAGCATGAACCATGTCAGGAAACTTCATGCCATCTCGAACAAAGAAGACGGGAAAATTGTTGCCCACCAAATCAAAGTTTCCCTGCAAAGTGTTTAACATCAGATGCAGGTCATTTGGAACTAACTGCGTTAGTTTCTTTAAGGTCATGCTCCTAATTGGTCTACGAAAAATCAGGTCCTCCATGGAACTTTCCCCTCTCTCTCTCTCCCTCTCTAACCATATATAGGGGCTGTGAGAACTAATCACAATTTTGTTTGACATGAATTTTGTTTCAAAAACTATGTTTTAAGGTATTATTTCACATGTATTTGTTTCATAAGAGAGACTTTTTGACACGTATCATTTTTGTTTCACAATGCGAAACAATACTGTGTTTTACAATGTAAAACATACATGTTTCACTGGTTCTTAATATTGACAACGTTTTTTTGAGGTTAATGTGAAACAATATTGTGTTTTACAATGTAAAACATACATGTTTCACTGGTTCTTAATATTGACAACATTTTTTTAGGTTCTCATTTGATTATTCCCCTGAATTATATACATGGCGAAGGATTGTGTGAGAAGGGAAATTATGGTGAGGAACTTAAGAAGAGATTTGAAACCTTCATCACTTTTAATCTCATGTCCACCCATGAATTGCGTTTTAGAAAGGAATTGATCTAGTGCATTTCGGTGCACCTCATTAGTATTGACATTCAATTAGTATTGATCCATGAGTGAAGATCTCTTCTTACACTTCTCACCGGAACCCAACCAATACACACACACACGTATAGGGGGAGGTTCAGAGAAAAACCCTAAAAAAATGAAAAACTAAGGAACACCCTAGCGGGAAGGTATGCACATGTGCATACACGTAATTGAAGTTTCTTGGTTTTTTTATGCACATATGCATACTGGACAAATTGCTTAAGAATTACTTGTATGCACATGTTCATACGGTCCGTACAGGGTGTTCCTCAGTTTTTTATTTTTTTTACGGTTTTCCCTGAACATGACCCTATATACATAGGTAATAATGCTCTATCATCTCACCTCCCTGGTGTAAAACTTGACTGCAAATCCTCTGGGATCCCTGAGAGTTTCAGGGCTTCCACGCTCATGAATGACAGTAGAGAACCGAACGATGACAGGAGTCTGGACTCCAGGAGCACGGAGAAAATCAGCACACGTGAGGTTAGAAATGTCATGTGTAACCTCAAAGAATCCCTTGGCACTGGCACCCCTTGCATGAACAACACGTTCTGGGATCCGCTCACGATCAAAATTAGCTAGTTTCTCCACCAAATGATAATCCTCGAGCAGGATCGGTCCTGCAATATTCACCACAAACTTTCAATAGTGAATTTCACCACAATCCTCAGAAAGTTATTTCATAAAAACAAGATGACAAATTCCACAATCAAAGTATATCACTATGCAATTTCTGTATCAAGAATACTCTTAAGGAGCTGTTTGGTTGTCTTTCCATTAAGCTAATATTTTTTGTTTGTTTGTTGTGCAGAATAAACTGTTTGAACGACAACATTACCATTTTATCTTTCGGAAGCAAAATGACTGATTTTAGGAGAAGTGGATTTCAGGGAAAGGGTAAATGGGGGGCGTTTGATTGAGGGAGGGGCAGGAGCGGTCTTTTTCATGGCTTAATGGATAGAGCAAGGGTCAGTGGGCTGAGCAAATAAGACACTATCTTACCGAATAAGCCACAACCAAACTATCCTGTATGACTTATAGAATAAGGGGGTGTCATTTCTGTCATTCAAATCTTTGATTCAGATAAAAAAAAGTAAACAACCGCACTAATTTATCCGGATAGACAACTTTATCCATATAAAATTTAATAGAAAATTTGGTAAACAGCCCCTAAGCCATACAGGCCATTAACCTGTTAAGCCAATACCAAACAGCCCCTAACTAACACATAACCAGATACAAGTACCTCTAATCCCAACTGTTAACGACGAGTTGTTGTTGTAAATCGGTGCACCAGAATTCGTAGTCCAAAATGGAGTATTGTGAGCACTCGAAGGACGGTACTGCATCAAATCAAATATATGAAAAAGTTCAAGTAGACTATCACAACAAAAAACTACCAAATTCCCACAAAAAGAAACACACTTTTTTCAAAAAGTATTGTTTGCAATTGGATTATAAATTATTCAATTGAAGACCCAAAAAGAATACTAATATTAGTAGGCAGATCGAGTTAAGAAGAAACCAGAAACAAAGCTTTCATAGCATCTCCGGGAGCTATGCTATAATCTTTTTAAAATAGAGTTTCAAAAATCAAAATATATCTAAAAAATTATATTCAACTCCAACAACTATTCTATTTTAGCAATTTCAACATTAATTATATTTATTAAAATATGTTATAAATTAATCATCCCAATACACTTCCAAATTTATAAAAAAAATTATAACACATTCAGCCTCCTTGGTAGAAACAATTAAAATGATATAAGTTTCTCATTAACAGTTATGTTAAATTAGAATATATTTTTGCTCCAACAATTATGTTATAACGTATACTAAAAATAGAGAAAATAAGAGAGACCAGATGGAAATTTCCAAATTTAGAGAAATCTGTAAAACTTCGTATTTAAGAGAGAGAAATAATATTTTACTAAATGTAGTGATTATTTCAATAATATAATTAACGTTTGAATCATTAAAATAAAACAGACGGTGGAGTTAGATGTAACTTTTTAGAGATTTTAACACATGATGCTGATGAAGATGTTAAGTTTTAGAAATTTCTCAAAATTTGAAGATTTGCTCCTTCTTTATATTATTTCTTCGTTCTATTTTACATATACTTTTGTGCAGCTGTTGGAGCTAAAAGAAATAACTGAATACGTCTTCCCATCCAGCTGATCATATAAAAAGAGTAGTTGATGGTAAACACTGACAGTTCCCAACAATTAATCAAATTTCCGTCTGACTCATAAACGTGAATTACAAATCATAACCAACATGAATTTAGGTTACAAATTCAGTAAAACATTCGTATCATTCATCAACATGAACCAAATCATGAAAATCAAGTAAAATTCATGATGTATATAAATTAGAATACATAATCAACAATAGAACATCACATCTCAATGTAATCAAATGTTCGATTAAAGAAACAAGATTCACAACACATGGATATGCGAAATTGAAAAACAAAACCTAACATATACGATCGATGGATGATACACAATGAAATTGCGAAAAACAGAGAGGAAAATAACAGAAATGGAGTTAGTAATCAATGTTTAAAACTAGAAAAATGGAAGATCACCTTGTAAGGATCCATTGATTTGTAATTCGTAGAGAAGATCAAGGAAGCAAAATGAATCGAAATCGTGTGGCAAACCCTTTCTCGCAATTGTTAGATGCAAAGAGAATACGTATATATATATATAAAAGCGGTTAGGGGATAAACTCTAGAACATATTTTCCCTCCGGAATCTTCTTCTATTTTTGGTAAATTTATCGCCTATAAAATATCGTATCACTTTTCCGTGAGATAATGAAATTGCATAAATTGGGCTTTGAATAAATTGGTAGACTCATGGTGGGGGGTTTTAAGTGGAAGTCCCAACATATACGAACGTACATGACCGAGACCCTCGGCCCGGGATTCGCGAAAGTGGTGCGAGAACGCACTTTGGAGATAAATATTGTTGGAGATAATCCTCCAACTATCTCATGATCATCCGAAAAAATGGGGATGAAATCGTGGGTTTTTTTAGGATTTCACCTGGTATAAATACTGGGTTGAAGCCAACCTAAAAGCCACCTGAAAATATTGTTTTATCTCTGTGATTTCTGTTTCTATTCGTTCTTTCTTTCTACCGATTTCTGTATCCACCTTGCTTTAATTTCGTTTTCATCGTTGTTAATAAACGAAAACGTGTACTGCATCAAATCTTGGGGCTTTGCGACTAGTAGACTCACAATGTCAAAAGAGTAGTCGTATAAAACCTTCAAGGACAGGTTCTACCGTGCAGGTTGGTTTTAAATTTTGTGCATTGTATTTAATTTATGTTCACTAAGTGAACAACTCTACTTCTACTCATTTCTTTCATTGAATCTATCATGAAGGATAAATTCAATCTGTGTGAAATTGCATGTTTTGAGGTGTTGTGGATTCCGGATACAAAAAATTACCATCTTTGTTCATAAAAAATTTAACTTTTTGGATTAAATATTTAAACTTGTTTTTAAAGGTTAAAACTTTGTTGGTTTCATCTATCTAACTCTATTTAATTTTTACAACACGAAACTGGTAAAAAGAAATCAGTTGAATGTTGAAAAATAAATCCCAGTCTAGATGACGTTTCTTGGAAAACAACTGCCGGTTCTGAAAATTCCGAATGACGTAAAGCTATCCAGCAAGAGAACGTCTAATCGAAGGATGTAATATCGAGCCAATAATATATGAGGTTGAGTTTATAGGAATATTATGAATACGACACTACTTCAGCTACTCTTCTCAAATATGTTGAATCTTTTTTTTATTAACATGGATATCTAACCCGCTATGCGAGCCGACTAATCTCAGGACGACCACCTGCTTTGCAGAAGGCCCGGAGTCATCGCATTTGAACCTCCGTGGCCACAAGAGGATTTTTATTCCTTCTTGGATTTGAAATATGTTGAATCTTACTGCAACCGAAAGACGAGTGATATCACATTGCACAAAATACCCACAAGCAACCACCAAAATCAAACATAAATAAACGCTATTACATGTAGAAAGCAGCTTAGACAACATGTAAGCCATATGGTTTAAGATTCAAACCGAACATGGAACGTCACAAGTTGGCGCATCGAGTGCGCTTTTTATTCTACGTTCCAGGTTCGTTTAGTACACAAAAACATTACGTAATCGAAAGGGTAGTGCATAGCTTGAAACCGAGTACTTTTATAACAGGCGGAGCGAGCTGGAGGACGTTTCGTATAAAGTCGTTTTGACCACACTCTTGTTCACGATGAACACGGGTTTCAAGATGGTTTTGTTCAAAAGTTTGGACGCACGTTGAGGCGTGACGCTATCTTCTGCCCTAGCGACTGGTCGGCCTGCAAGAACGCCAACCAAATTCAGTATGTTTATGTATTGCAACTGTTCGACTCCCACATCAGCTAAACACGTACCATCAAACAGGTATATTTGTAGGAACCTCCCCTCTTTTAGAGAGATTCAAAGGGGTTCCATATATCTAACATGGTATCAGATCTAATGTCTACCACATCTAGGGACTCGACACTCTTTTTTGTCCCTCGATTCTGGGGGCACCATCTACCCTTTTGTTTGAGGGGCCATGTTGGAGTCGCACATTGGCTAAATATAGACTATCAAACCTGTATATATGTAGGAACCATCGCTCTCTGTAAAAGGGTCTTTTAGAGAGAGAGAGAGAGATTCAAAAGGGTTCCAGACGGATTCTACTGTTGTGCTTCGATGCGTCAATCATCAATAGGATTTCGATTTTAACAAAAAATGGGGAAGGAGAGCAAACCTGAGACCAGTACGAGATCCAAACGCTGCGAAGCTCGTGGGTAACGCGTGGGTCGGACAACATCTTAACCATTCGGCAAATGAACCTTTCTTGCCTACAGGAATAAGAGAAGAGATTTACGCGATATATAATATTTATATACAGTAATTAAACTCGCACACACTTCTCGGTGGGGTTACCGGATAACTCCGGGCCAATGGCCATCTGGTAAAAACTACTGACCTTGGTAGCAACATTTATGGTTGGAAGAAATTTAGTAGAACCACAAAATGTAGTATTAGGGGTTGTTTGTTTACCTCTTAATAGTTTCATTAAGAGGCAACATCTGAATCGTTAAGAGGTGAATCTTGTTTGGCAAAAAAAAAAATCTGCCTCTTAATGGTTATAAAAACCTCTGAATAATTTTGTATCATAAGCTTCCCTTAACCATTAAGCGCCCTAATTTCATCGTAAACAATTACCAAACAATTATATTTCATTTTGCACTATATCATGAAAGTCTCTTAATCATTCTGACCACTTAATCATTCTGCACCAAATCATTCAGCAATTGTCAAACAACCAGTTTGGTTTTGTTCATATTTAATGCTACAAATTTTTTTTTGACTGATATAACAAAGTAACAAATTTTCCTATTTTGTACCCATTTTGACATGTAACCCATTGATCTTGTAATATTTGATGACATGGATGCCCGTTTAGAATTTTTTTTGAAAAGATTACAGCAAAGGGATGATAAACTTGACATCCATGTAATCAAATGTAGCAAAACAGTAAGTTTTAGAACGTTGTTACGCTAAATAGGAACTAAGCTAAATTTCGTTGCATTTTGATGCATTTTGCCCTTGACTAGAATAGAAGAGAGACAAATTGTACCTGTCTGGTGCCCATGATCTGTATCTCTCTCCTGGTTGCTTAAAATCGTTACATTTCGGGATAACGGTCTGCATTAACAAACACGCAATTGTCTGTTAAATGTTCAAATCTCACCAAAGATGAGGAGGACGTGTGAGTTTATTTGCACATATATAAGTATTTTATACTTGAAGAAAACTAACCCGTTCACGGGTTGCAGTCAGCCTAACAGGATTAATTGGGTACTGCTGAGCATGTTGAACACGATCATACCTCGAAGGGAAGTAATCAACCTGTAAGAACGTAATAATCGAGTTAGAAGTGTACTAAATTAGCAAAACGTATTTGCTCTTTAGATGCATCTCCATTAAGAAGATTAACTAGAAACTGTTGGAGTCCCACATCAGCTAGACTTAGACCATTTATCCTCGAGAGCTCTTTTGGAGATTAATCTGAGGGTTCCACCTGCTGTCACATGGTATCAGAGCCAAGGTCCACCTAGAGGACTCGACACTTTGGGGCAATCTGTACTCGTTTAGCCCCTGTCGACACTCTAGAACAATTTGTGCGCATCTAGCCTCCGTTAGAGGGGGCGTGTTGGAGTCTCACAACAGCTAGACTAGGACCGTTTATCCTCAATAATATGTTGGAACCTCCCACCTACTGTCACATGGTATAAGAGTCAAGGTCCACCTAGAGGACTCGACACATGGGGGCAATATATGTACCCATCGAGCTCCCTCTAGACACTTGTAGAACAAATTTGTGCCCATCTAGCCTCCATTGGAGGGGGCGTAACGACGGGTAGACGGTCCTCGTGGGCTATTTTCGGGATTTGGAGATTAGAAAGATAGAATACCTCTTCATCCCTGTGCATGAAGTTCATATTTCCATCATAGTGATTATTATGATGAGCACATTTTGGAGCATTAACAGGCAACTGCAAGTAATTCGGTCCGAGCCGATGCCTTTGCGTATCGGAATATGCAAAAATCCGACCTTGGAGCATCTTATCGTCCGAATAATAGATTCCAGGAACAACGAGACCCGGGTTGAATGCAAGCTGTTCATTCTCAGCAAAGAAGTTATCAATATTCTTGTTCAAAACCATACGGCCGAGCGGCTGCAACGGTATTACGTCCTCCGGCCAGGTCATGGTGCCATCGAGTGGGTCAAAATCGAGCCTATCTTCGTGATCAGGATCGATAACTTGGAAAAACAGCTTCCATTCAGGAAAGTTACCAGCAGCGATCGAATCGTAGAGATCTTGTGTGGCATGGCTGTGATTAGTTCCTCCGATCTTGACGGCTTCATCCTCCAAGAGACACTTCACGCCACACGTCGGTTTCCACGTAAATTTCACGTAGTGTGTTTTCCCGTCTTTATTGATCAAAGTGAGGGCGTTAACACTCGAGCCTTCCATGTGCCTGTAATCTGTTGGTATGCCAAGATCGTCGAGCCAGAAAGTCATGGTGTTCAAACTCTCGGGATGGTGCGACAGGAAGTCGAGAATTCTCCAGTCCTCTTGAATATGAGACTTCGGATTCGGTTTGAAAGCGTGAATCACATCTGGGAATGCCATTGCATCACGAGTAAAGAAAACGGGGAAATTGTTTCCCACGATGTCGAAGTTACCCTGCAAATTTAGAAATAGTTACCAGCTTCGGCTTTAGTCCTATAAAGTAGTCTATTAAGACATTTTTGGCATCTTATAAAACCAACTTTGTTTGTCTTAATGAATTCACTAAAGAATCAAATTCACATATATTTCAAGCAACTATACAAAGACCATCCTCACCTCTCGGGTGTAAAATTTCGTTGCAAAACCTCGGGGATCCCTGATCGTTTCAGGGCTACCACGCTCATGGATAACAGTGGAGAAACGGACAATGACAGGAGTCTGAACTCCCGGAGCACGAAGGAAATCGGCACACGTAAGATGCGTGATATCGTGTGTGACCTCGAAGAATCCCTTAGCACTCGCACCCCTTGCATGTACAATGCGCTCAGGGATCCGCTCGCGAGTAAAATTAGCAAGTTTCTCAATTAAATGATAGTCCTCAAGTAGAATTGGACCTGTAATGCACAAGATGATCACAACATTAGATTACTCTCCAAAACAGCCCTTCACGAGAGCACGACAGTTGGTTCCAACATATATCGAGAAGAAGTGGTCCAAATCACCTCTGTTTCCCACAGTCAATGATGCAGTGTTGTTGTAAACGGGTGCACCAGCATTTGTGGTCCAAAACGGGGCATTATACGCGCTTGAAGGGCGTTGCTGCACCAAATCCAACAAATGAAAACACATGAGCAAACGCGCAGATACGTACTTGCGCATAAAGACATGATCATTGCGGTAAAAAATAATCAAGCGAACTAGTTTTTCGGTAATTTACATTGGGGGGAGGGAGGATGAGATTCGAACCCTGCACAACGGCACGAAACAGTTCAGCATCTTGGTAAAGGCCCTAACATGGTCCATCTAAAACAATCTAAAACCAACGGTGAAAACCGAAAACCGAAACTTTCAGGTCGGATTCGGGGACATTTTATCGGGAACAGGACGAGAATCGGGGATTTTAACAGGGATGGAAGCGAGGATCACCGGCCACCCGATATGTGTACATATATATATAGTATTACTAAAAGAAAATATTAATATTAAAATTTAAAATATTTTTATCAACTTTAGTTCAACACTCAAAATAAGGCTCACGTTAAAATTTAGTTTATTATCGTGAAACATGATGTTACTTGTATGATGATTGAATTTTTGTTTACTTTTACATTATAATCTAATAATCTAAGATGTTGTTTGTAATTGATTTGATTATGTTTGAGATATTTAGATTTAAAAAATTGTAATTTACTTTTAGTTTTATGAAAATTAAAATATATTTTAGATCGGTTCGGGTTTCGGGTATAACCAACGAGAAAAGAAGGATTTTTACCCTTAACGGGTTCCCCAATGGGGATCGGGTAAACCACGGGGACTCGACGGAGATCCCTGATAAGATCCCCCGACAGGGATCGGAACGGTTATAGGGACAATTTTAGTTATCGGTTTCAAGGACGGGGATACCAATAATCGGCCCGAACATGGCTACAAACTACATCAATTTCCCTAATTACAATATATTTTCAAGATTTATTTTGATCCATAATTTATTTTTGAGTTGTCCGATAATTAAAATCACATTAAATTATATATCAAGTTAAATATTATATTTTAAAGTTAAATAGATTTATTAATGTGGGTTGAGTTCACATGAGACCAAGTATTTTTCGTGAGACCCGTAAGACCAATTTATGTTCATTGATCAACTTTATAAGCTAATGATCTAATGGTCTAAAGTTGCACGATGACAATTTTGTAATTATTGAGAAGTTTTGTGGCATTTATGAATGTTCAAATCTGAAGATTGTAGATCTAATCCAAGGGTTGAGAATTGGTCTTACGGGTCTCACGAAAAACCATTGATCTCACATGATCCCAAGTCTTATTAATGTATATAGATATCTTAATAATAGACAATGTTGTTAACTTTAGATTTATTAATTTTTTATAAATCGCTTTATTTAAATAAATTAGATTAAAACATTTTAATAATAATCATATATAAAAACATTAAATGTTTATAAGATTTTAAAAATGGGTAAAACCCGTTAGTAGGCCGATTCAATCAAACCCAATCCAATGCAAAATAAATACAGTATTTCTATAGTTAACGTTACAAATATCAGTATGTTTCAAGTTTGTTTGATAAATAGGTTAATAAATTAACGATGATAGATTGCATCTCTTTGTTCAGTTCACTTGTGAAGTTCTTGGTTTCAGGAGGAGGTAGATGCAACAAATTGTTCTCGGGTCATATCTGACAACCATAATCCAGTTTTTCAGCTAGTTTTTACTAAATCTGTTTAGTTTATCAATTATCAGCTAGTTTATCAAACACGATCTTAATCTAAACGTTTCGAGTATAAGCTTCATACTTGAAACTGCGCAAGTAATTATAAGAATACGTTAACATACACGTAACAAAAATTTGTTTCTACATATATGGATTTTCGGGTCTAAGCACACTGATGATTTAATGCATTAACGAGTTGTACAAAAGATAAAAGCATTTCATTGGAGAGTTGTACCTTGTATGGATCCATGTTGAGAGCCAAGATTCAAGAAGAAGACGAAAGCTTTGTGCTTATTGATCTTGCAAGGGTTTTATGGTTCTTCATAACACTCTTTGAGACTTATTTATACCCAAAATATATGCATATAAAAAATTAAATAATAATATTATTTTTATTAAAAATATTTTCATTACTTTGTAATTATTATTAATGCTCATATTTTCAAAGATGTGGCCCATAAATTGGTAAATTTTGTGCCTTTTTCAGGACATTAATTCAACAAAAGTTAATTTTTAATATTTTTAAATACAAAAAAGCCAAAAACCTTATCTTCTTTTTTATTTTTCAACCACTTTTGTCTTTTATAAAAGTAGGGTGGCGTTTGTTTTTTAAGAGGTTCTGAAGTCTGATTTTACTTCTGAATTTTAAGAGGTGGTACTGAAGTCTGAAATCTGAATCAGTCAGATTATTTGTTTTTACGTCTGAAATCTGAATCAGTCAAGTTTCGGATCTGATAGATTTGGATCGATCTGGGTCATGATTTTACGAGAATATGTGGATCGATCTGGGTTGTGATTGATTTGGAGATCAAATGTCTTGCGACATAGATTTGGAGGACTAAATCTGGAGGTGAGGATGGAGGGGAGAGTCTGGAGGGAGCGATTAAGAGGATTTAAGTGATTATGTTATCACTTATTTTCAGAGCAAATTAAGAGCTTTTCAGCTCTTATTTATATAAAAAAACAAACGGTCTGAAAATAAAAACGTCTGACTGGTTCAGACTTAAGAGGCATTAAGTGGTTTTTTTTTAAACAAACAAGCCCTAAATATCCTGATCCAAAATAATAATTTAAATATGTAATTTTAAATAAATTTAAAACTTACAATAAAATCCACCCCCACAATTTTAAATTTACAAAAAAACTCATATTATTTATCAAAATAATATATATATATATATATATATATATATATAAAATATAAAGATGCGTAACCAAATGACCTTTCGCCTAGCGGCATCGTAGTCTTTGGCCTCGTAGAAGGTTAGGGGTTCAAACTTCACGAAATGTAAGGATGATTGTAAGTTTTTTTGTTGCATTTACCGTATATAAATATTATATATTTAAAAAAAACAAGAAAAAAAGTTATGCTTGTACCCAGACATTGGTTTAAAAACTAAGACCGATTTGAGCCTTAGAGTCCTAACTGAGAGTCTGAGACCCGTTTTGTTTTGTTTTTTAACAAAGAATTAGTTTTCTTTTGTGAAAACAAGTGCATACATCTAAACCATCACAAGTTGGACTTTATTCGGACGTCTGAATCTCACTTGGTCATTTTTCTGAACCGAGATTTAGTCTTATGCACCCAAATGCTTCATCTGGGTAGGGCCGACATCTGGGCGACCCCCTCCTTTTTTCGCCCCCATGTCGCCACACAAGGAGCATTGGAGCGAGAGGCCAGTAGAGCTTGCTGCAGAGGAGATCCGGTAACCGACACTACTTCACAGCCAAAAAGAAGGGGAAGCAACTTGGACAAAAACAAACGAAGTGGCTTAGACAAATTAAAAGAAGGGAAATCGACCACATTAAAATTACCTTTAGATCTCAATTAAAAGTTCTTAGATGAGCTGCTTCATGTTTTTTAGAGCTCGAACGACCTTCAACAAAAGGTACCTATACCCGAAACCGACACAGATGGGTAGGTATTAGGTAGAGAGTACCTAGGGGTGCGAGACCGCTCTCTCTAAGGAACTCAACAAAATAGCCCTGTAACTTCGGGACATATTTTATTTAATGATTATTTATGTATAATTAAACTGAAACTGTACCAAAAACACATTATAATTTAAGGATAAAATTCTTTGAAACGAAAGAGATATTAGAAGTTACAAAAATACTGTAAATCAACCTCTATTTTCGTTGGTGTTACTGTTTTTTAATCATTCATTTAAACTAGAGTTATTTACGGATAATACGTCTGGCAAGATATGATGTGTTGAAGAAACGGATCTAAACAACCATTATCGAAAACTTATGCATCATGTGTTATTTCATATGATTTTTTTTTCTAACTAAAGACTAGAATTTATAATATTTGATTATCATATATTTGTTTCATAAGTATTCGTTTTACAATGTAAAAAAAAAATTACGTTTATTTTTTGTTTCACAAACACGTAAAAAAATGTTTACATTGTGAAACGAATACATATGAAACACACATATTATGAAACAAATATATGTTAATCAATATTCTAAATTCTAGTCTTAGATAAAAAAAAATATGAAATAACACATGATACATAAGTTCTCAAGTTTATCACAATTTTATAGGTTCGTAAATGATTAAGTCCTTACACATACATATCTATACTATATTATAAAGCATTTGACTAAAACTCTTAAAAACTCTTAAACTCTTAAAACTCTTAAAACTCTTAAACCCGTTCATCCCTAAACAATTTCATCCCTATCCGATTTCATCCCATAACTGAATTTGTGTAACTAACTGCAGATAAACACAATCAAAT